TGCTGCTCACTCTCAATGGTAGTGGTGCAAATTATTTCCTCTCTTTTACCAGTTTGCATTCTCCCAGATTTTTAACATCAGCTTGTACAACTTTCACAGTAAGAGGGGGGAATCCATGAAAGTTATTTTTAAATGGAGAAAGAAGCAGCTGGGTCTAATATATTACAATTCCCCAGAGGAAGGAGTAGGAAAAGGCCCCAGAAAGGAAGAGGATCCAGAAGCCTTTTCTAAAGAAGATTTAGGCATTGGACATGACATTCCCACTAACTGGAGTGTCCAGGGGAAGGGCAGGGCGGTTTACAGAGGCGCAAATTCGAAGATTTAGAGTTCTTTGTAAAAACTGCAAGATCACATATACCCGCTTTTTGCTGGAACTGGATTAGAGAACCCAGATGCCTCTGAAGTTCTTGTGTGGGGAGGCCAGGGGGAGGCAAATGTTGGGACAGCAGAGCGAGGGGCCCAGCAGCCTGCCGCCTGCATGCATGTCCTGGCTTGTACGTTACCGTCAGTGCAAGCTTAGGTGCCTCGGTTTCCTTCTAAGGAAAGTTATGCTGCCTACTGCATCTAGTGATGAAACACTGGGGTACAGTAGTCTCCCCTTATCTTCTGGGATGTGTTGCAGGATCCCCATCCACAGTGCCTGAAACCACAGGTAGTGCTGGATTCTGGTTATCCCATGCTTTTTTCCCTATAGAGACATACTCATGCTGAAGTTTAATTGTAAATTAGGCACAGTAAGAGATCAACAATTCTTACTATAACAAACTATTGTAATAAAAGTTATGTGAATGATCTCTCCCTCTGTCTCTCTGTCTCTCTCTCTCTCTCTCTCCATCCCTGTACTGTGCCATACCTACCCATCTGACATGCATTTCTTTTTCAGTCTTCACAATTTCATGGATACAAGATTAGTTCTTAGCTGGGTAGGTAGCGCAGTAGTGTGTGCCTGCCTAGCACGCTCATGGTCCCAGGTTCAAGCCCCGGCACCACCACCAAAAAAGACAAGAGTAAGGAAAAGGGGTGGGGGGAAAGAGAGACAGAGGGCGGGGAGAAAAGATTTGTTCTTTCTGCAGATCTTAGCTACTTCAGTGTATAATTTTACTTTTTTTATTAGGTTGAAAACGTTCATCTTTTTTCTTGAAAGAAGCACTTTATGGCTTCTCTTTGTCCTGCCTGGTTGCCAGCATTAGTACCTGTAAGCTTTGGGGTCGTCCTTAAATCCAACAGCTGTTGTTTAAACAAGTTCTAAAGCACCGGGAAGTCTATTAGTCACAAGATCAGCCACTAAGTAACTCGTGGAAGCTGTGTATGCCCTGAAGATGTGTGTTTCCATGGATTCGGGATTATTCACAGCTGGGGCCAGATAGAGCAAGGTGTGGCGCAGGATTTCACCGGGACTCAGAACAGCTGCTCAGTGTAAGAAGACTTAAATTATTTCTTCATTTTCCACTCTAATACTTTTGGATTTCAGTTAACTGTGGGTGACTGAAACTGCAGACAAAAGTTGCTGCTGTTTTATAAACAGAGAGGGTGCTTTTAAAATAAAGTTAGCAGTTTTTAAATTACTCTGCTTGATCCTTGGGAGAACACTGACTTTCTGCCTTTCATGTCGTACAAGATGAGAATACAGGGGCCAGAGTAGAAATGAAAATCTTTCGTAATTCAATGTTGAGTCATAAGTTGGGCCTTGAATGTTCACTGGTGTCCCACGGGTACACAAAGCCAGACTGTCAGCTTCCTGCTAGTGCCACAGCGAGAACAGTTCCGCTTTACTTACTACAGAGCCCATATCGCAGCATCTCAGTGTTTGATGAATGAATAAATGAATGTGGTATGGAGTTGGATAGAGATTAGCAGCAACAGATTTATTTCTTATTCATCACTTCCAAATACTTGGGATGGTTGGAATATGGTTTGAGTGTGTCCCCAAAGCAACCATGTGTTGGAATTTAATCCCTATTGTATCGCATTAAAGGTGTTTAGAAGTGGACCCTTTGGAAGACAACTAGGCTTAGTTAAAACTGTTATAGAAAGAGGGAGAGATGACTGCGAGTTTGAGACCAGCCTGGGCCATGCAGGAGTTCAACCCAGCCTGAACTACACTGGGAGACCCTATCTTGAAAAACAGTTAAGAAAGGAAGAAGCAGGAGGAAGATCAGAAGAGACACATGTGTGCTCCTACCCTATTGTCATGCGATACCCTGTGCCACCTTCATTCTCTTGGCCATCATCGGCTGTGACCCTTTGACCTTGAACTTTCCAAGGTCATGAACCAGAATAAGCCATTTAAAAAAATAATTTACCCAGTCTTTAGTATTGCATTATTAGAAAGAGAAAATAGAAAAATACACCAGTTATTCTTTTGTTATGGGTTTATGGCACAATTCTACTGTGGTCAGACAATACATTCTGTATGATTTCATCGACTGTGTTACGATTTGTTTTATGGCCCACCTGGGGTTCATTTTGGGAAATCTTCCCTGTGTCCTTAAAGTGAATCTGCCCCATGAGGACTTTTTAAAAATGTGAGAATTCAGTCAGGTCTGTTAATCATGTCATTCGTGTCTTCAGGGACATGATTTTCCTGTGTGTTTCTTATGTCATTTACTAACAGAAGTGTGTAAAGTTTCCATTGTGATTATGGAGTGATCTGTTTCTTCCTTTTAGTTTTGTAAATATTTTATCTCTTGTGTACTGAGGGTGATGCTTATAAATGTAGCAAAGTTGTATCTTCCTAGTGGATTGGCTCTTTCCTTATCATTCCTTTGGTCACTAGTAATGTTTCTTGTCTTACAATAACTTTATCTCACTTTTTTTTTTTTACCATGCCCACAATACCTCCAAAGCCACAGGGCATCCTTTAATTAGACCATTAAAACAAGTGTTCTTTTAAAAAACAGCCACTGAAAAGACAACACATTAAGAAACATGTAAACACTGCAGCTACTTACTTACAAGTTGCACTGTTTGGTTTAATACCTAATGCGCTCTTAGGTCTGGGGAACTTAAAAGCGGGGCAGGACTCTCCCCCCTCACTTTCACAGTTGACTAAGAAGAAAGAACAGGGATAGCCAGAAACCAAGACCTGGCTTATTCACAGCTCCTGAGATAATCAAAGCAAATTCTGTCTTCTAGCTCTCTCAGAAGAAAAGTTAAGATGTTAGGAAAGTTGGGAAATGAGTTTCTGTTGTCATTTGGGAGGCAGAGGAATTGACAAATGCTTTCTAGTTAGAATACTGCCTTTTAAAAGGAGGCACACCAGAGCCTATGCTCTTGCTAAGAAAAATGCAAGGACACAGAACCTGCCTTTCTTGGATGTGTGAGTCTCAGCCTTGGTAATCCAAGGGCAGTCGGGTGGCTGACCCTGCTCCAGTGGGATTGTGTGTCGTACCTGAACTCCAGGTCTGGCATGGAGGAACAAATCCACCTCAGTTCTGCTGCTCCCAGTCAAATACACACATCCTCCAAGTGTCTTTCCCTCTAGTCTCACTCTGACCCAGGAGCTGGCCTAGGCAAGACCCAAGCTTGCCTTGATTTTTGGTGAAAGAGTAGTCCCCATTTTCTACACTAACTGAAACAGGAGACAGGAACCAATGCTTCTACTTTCCAAATTACCAGAAACTTGGGCCAGGGATTTAGCACAGTGGTGCTGCAGCCTGCCTCGCAAGCACAAAGACCCAAGTTCTATCCCCGGTACCAAAAAACAAAACAAACAAACAAGAACCACAACAAATTACCAAAAACTCAAAAGGGCCAGATAGTGTACACATTGGCCAGTGGGTCTGACTGGACTTTTTTATAAAAGGAAGGGAGACCAATAGAGTAATTCCTCCCAGATGAGGCAGAAAAAATAGTAAATGTCCTACACCATAGGCCCAAACACAGAACAACAAGGGAAAAGTATCCTCTAGTGTAATGAAACATCCACAAAAGTTTTCATATGTTCTTAAACAATAACAACAACAAAAAAACCCAATGGTCCTAAAACTGGGTGAGTGAACTGCTGAAAATGAAGATGTAATTTGGCAAGCAAAAGTATCTGGAAGTTGTGGTAATCAAATCCTCTGCTGGAGTTCCCATCTCCCTCCCTTAATTTACAGGTGTAGAGGTGAACAGGCTTAAAGTAGGAGTAAGAACAAAATTTACAAGTACTCAACACCAAGCCCCACTTCCCAGAAATTAAATGGGAAGCAAGGAGTTGAAGAAGGTTAGTCTTTGGGAGGAAAAGAGTCCTGGTCCCTTCCCAGGACATCTTCAAGGGAACAGAAGCTCTTGCTTGGAGTTTGCTGGGTTACTTACAGTAATACCCTAGAAGGACCCAGACCTCAGACTGCCAAGAAGAGTCACACTCAAAGGGAGACAGTTGCCATGCTTGAGTCCTCCTCCTTCCTTAGTGGCTCACCTTCCTGGCCGCCCATGTATGACACTGACCCCAGGGCTTTCTGGACTCAGGTATCTCTGGTGGATGAAGAGCCGATCAGCCCCAGGCTGTTCCATCAGCTTCTGTCCCCGGATGTTCATGGCAAGCCAGAGCAGGTAGGGAAGGCAGGCACCTGGGTCCCAACAGTGAAAGGCTAGAGAGTCTTAAGATGACTGTGGAGATGCCAAAGCACTACATCTGGGACTTCAGAGAGGTAGCTTCCCGATCTTGAGGTCCCCCCACCCCAATTAGGACAGGACAGGCCCTCTCCTCTTGGGACTACCTCAGGGATGGTAAAAGGGAATATAAGACGTGACTGCCCAGTGCCCTCCTGGCCGCTCTAAATCACAGGGACCTGCTTAGAGCCTATGTCAGGAAACTCAGAGCCAGAAGCCGAGGCTGCATGCTCCTGGGTCTCCCCTGAGACACAAAAAGCAGCTCAGGAGGAGAGCGTTTATTCCCCAGAGAGAGACTAGCTTCCACAACGCTTTCTCTCCCTATCCTTGCAGCCACCACAGAATCCCAAGGAGACCGCTCCCCAACCCAAGCCCCTTCGGTTCTTCAGAGAAAAGAATTTAAGTCAAAAAACATGATCTGTTTTCAGATTGCAAATAATGGTCAGCTGAGCTTCACACGTCCTTCCCCCTCCCTCAGCTGCTGGTGTTTGGTAGATGGGGGTGCTGGGGGGAAGCCACACAGCTTCTTGGCTCAGCGGCCTACTGTCTGCTGTTGTTTTCAGACAGCTAGCTGGGTGTCCACACCTCACCCAGGGATGCTGTGCCCTTGAAGCGCTGAGAGGCAATGGCTGCCTGTGGGACATCCTTTTCCATACAACGGCGCTCTTCCGTACAATGGCTCCCTTCCGTACAATGTCGCTCTTCCGCCCTAACGCCACTTCCGGCTGCTTCAAGTAGCGCCGCTCCTCCTCATCCATCAGCACCAGGTTGAGGTAATAGCGCACGGAGAACTTCTTGTTTATGTCCCGCATCGTGGGTGTGAGCTCGTACCCTGCCAGGAACAGCCGGATCCTAATAGATTCTCCTCGACCTAGCGCCCCATCCCTGGACTGGTACTTGGCTGTTGTTTCATTTTCGTGGTAAGCACTGGGGCCATTGCCTGTCTTTCCCGTTTGATGAGGTCTATCTCCATGTGATTGGTTTTGAGTCTCACCAGCAGGAAGTATATCTTCCTTACAATGACATCTTTCAAGTAGTATTTGGATTTATTGTACTCAAACTCAATATGCAAGCAGTCCTCAATCCCGACCTCCATTTTGATGGGCGAATTCAGCTCTGGGTAGTGCTCAGTGTGTGCGCCACAATGCCCGTCTCCTTGACGACATCGCTGATGGTGGCCGGAAGGAAATAGCGTAGCTTTACATTCTGTCCTGTGTAGGCCTCATATGGCCTCTCCCCGTGGGTAAATTCAAAGTCGAAGGCCTGAGACCGGGTGATCTCTCCAGGCCAAACCAAGTCCTTCACCAGGGATACAAATTCGTGTTGATCCCTACGGTCACGATAGAGAATCTGCCCAATGCATTCCATCTTGCTGCCCTGGTGCTCCAGCCGCTTATTGGGGTTCTCGGGTGCGAGGCTCACCTTCCCGGAGATGGCCTTGCCATCGTAGAAGAGGAAATACTTCTTCCTGTCTTCTCTTCCTACTCTCTGCATCCTTCAGCAGGATCTCCACCTCCACTCTGACTTAGGAAGGGGGACATGGGCCCTGCTGGCCGCTGCACCGCAGCCTGGCTTCCCAGAGGGCAGGTGGGGGCACAGGTGCCCCTCTGCTTGGGGGAGTGAGAGCAGGGCAGTCCCCAGGAACAGAGGAGCAGCGGGTGGCAGCTAGCGGGAGTGGGGCCATGGTTGATGGTGCAGCTCTAGAGGGGTCAACGGTGCTGAGCCTGGAGTGCACGTTCTGTCACCCGCCAGGCAGGGCCTAGCAGCCCAAGCTTCCCTGGAGGTGTTTTGCGCCTCTGGGCCCAGAGAGAACTGTATCACTTTGTAATAGGATTCTTTGGGCTAATGAGTGCATGGTACATCTTTTTCCTTCCTTTTCTATCAAACCTTTATGTCTCTTGTAAGAAATATAAAGTTGGGTTGTTCTTGCTAAATCCATCCTGAAGATCTTTGTCTTTTAATTGGAATATTTATCTTACCATAATTGCTGATATATTTGAGTTTAAATCCACCACCTGAATATCTTTTCTATTTGTGACCGTTGTTCTACTTGACTGTCTCTCTGCTTTATGGCCTCCATTTTGGATTAATCAAGTATTATGGTTCAGATCATAAAGGCTGAGGCTGAAAGCTTTGTGGCCAGCCTGTGACATTATGAAGAGGTGCTGGACCCTTTAGGAGGTGAGGCCTAGTGGAAGGAAGTCAGGTCACTGGGGTCATGCTCTTGAAGGGGGTATCACTCTGTCTACTTCTCTGTTTGCTTCCTGGCCACCATTAGGTGAGCAGCCTCCTTGGCCACATGCTTCCACCATAATGCCACTGGTCCACGGCAACAGGGCCATGCAACTATGAACTGAACCTTCTGAAACTGTGAAGCAAAATGAACCCACCTCATAAGGTGATTACCTGAGGTATCTCATCACAGCTATAGAAAGTGGCTTGACACATCAAGTTTTTTTGTTTTGTTTTGTTTTTTGTACTAGGGATCAAACTCAGTACATTGCACTTGCGAGGCAGGCAGTGGCACCATTGAGCAAAATCCCCAACTCTTACATCAAGTATTTTTTTTTATAATTCCATTATTTACTCCTTATTAACTGATTCTACTCTGTTGTGTTACAATTTTTATGGTGACTACCATAAAGGTTACAGCATGCATCTATTAGGTTAGGTAAAACCTAATGGGAAACAATTCTTATACTGCTTCTCAGGCCACACAAAAACCTTAAAACACTCTAACTCCATGTAATCCCCATTTGCCTTTTGTGCTATTGTTGCTACAAATTTTAATAATAATTATTGCATATATAATAATTCTGTCAGTCTGTCTAGATATTACACTGGGGTTTGAACCCTGGCCCTCACGCATGGTAGGTAAGCACTCTTCCACTGAGCTACACCTATGAGATCATATGATATAAATATTTAAATATGATATAAATGATATAAATATTTAAAACCCTGTAAGATATTATGATCTGTCTACACAGTGGACTTTCATTTAGGTTCATTGGCATAGTTCCCCGTTTCATGGCCTCCTTTCCTTTCTGCACTGCCCTACTACTATGTTGGATTATATCTTCTTTGGCTTAAGGAACTCTATTTGGTATTTCCATCTTGTGGACCTTCTGGTAACAAAACATCCTTGTTTCACCTCTACTTTCTTCAGTAAGTACTATGGCTTATGGATTATATTTTGGATTGGGGGCGGCTTTGAAAATGTCAGGCCATTATCTTCTTGCTCCCTTATTTTCGTGGCAAGGCCTGTACATTTGTTTGTCTTGTTGTTGTTCTTTGGAAATAATATACATATTATACTCTGGCTGCCTTTAAGATGTTCTGTCGTGGGTCTTCCACAGCTGGATTTTGATGCACCCTGGGGTAGTTTTCTGTATAAACTATACTGCTTGGCCTTGATGGTGTTTGTAAATTTTGGGAAATTCTTGGCCATTATCTCTTCAAATATTTCTTCTCCACATTCTTTCCTCTTCTTTGGGATTCTGAGTATGTGGATTTTAGACCTCTGGAACCACTCTGTGCCCTAATGGGCAGAGTTCAGCTCTTTGGAGACTCCACTGGAAGCCCAGAGTTGTCTCATGGGTCCTTTCCTCTTTTGCAGGCTCTGGACTCCAGGTTTTTCTTGTATGCCTGTCCTTGGACGCTTCCAGAGCTTTGCTTAGCTTTTCAGCTCAGTGACCTTGGAGTCAGCACGTGCCCTGCGGGTGGAGGGGGAAGCAGAGACAGATGTGAGCCTCTGCTCCCTGAGCTTCCCATCTCTCCGGAGTTTTGGAGCCCATATTGCTGCTTGGTAGCTTTTCAGTGTCTTCTGACATAGTCATGTTCCGCTCGACTTGGGGATGTGTCCTGATGCATGTGAGATCAGCTGATTCGCCACTGTGCAAACCCCACGGAGTGTGTGGACACGAACTTGCACCGTGCAGGTCAGTCCTGCAGTGTGACCTCTGGTGCAGTCAAGACACTGAGAAGCAGGAGACCCATTTCCTGAAGAGTGGGCCGTGCAGCTGTGACATGCCTCCTGCTTTACAGTAAACTTTTTAACAAGTAGGAGGCGAATTCTCTTAAGTAATAATAAAAAGTATAGTGTAGTTAGCACACAGTGTGATCAAAAATCAGGGAATTTTTACATTTTTAAAAATTGTAGGGCTGGGGATTTAGCTCAGTGGTTCTTGCCCCTACCTTAAAAACCCAAGGACCCTAGTTCAATCCCAGCACCAAAAAGATAAAAATGTATCATAGTAGAAGGCACATTGGCATTGATCCCCCTCAGGGTCTCTCTCACTTCGAACACGCCTATCCATTGTTCTCAGCACTATCTGAAGCAGCTCTGTAAGTCCTCTTTCATGACTAGCTTTACTCATACTCTCATGGTTGTCTCAGCCTCTTGAATCAGTTGGAAACATTTACCTTTCATGGTCATTTTGACTTTGAGGAAGAACTAGAAGTCACACAGTGCCAGATCTGGTAAATAAAGCAGATGAGGAAACACCGTCATATTTTTACATGCTTATCTCATTTGGCTGGCACATGGCAGCTGCATTCACTGTACTTTTTATCCCCACTCATGAAAGAGGACTTCCAGAAAGTCTTCCAGCTGCAGAAAGCTGTAAGAATGAAGGGATAAGTGAGTTCAAATCAAAGAGGGAGTCTTTTGAGGGGAGGTCATAGCAATGTGTCTTTTACTTTAATGCATTTCTTAAAAATGTAAATGTACACTGTGTATTTCAGTCACGCCTTGTACATAACCAGTGTCAGTCGTTTACTGTCATTCCAAATGTTATGCACTGTGCATAACTGAATATGCTATGCTTTCGTGTGACTCCCAGGGCAGTAGGTTTGTTTCCATCAGTGTTACCGCAAACGTGGGAGTAATACATCATGCTGTGATCTGAGGGTGGCTACCACGTCCCTGGGAACTAGGAACGTTTTTAGGTTCATTCAGATCTTTTGGAACTACTGCTGTATATGTGGTCCATTATTGAGTGAAATATTAGTAGGAGCATAGGGGGTATGTGTTTTTTATCTATTTTTTTCTAATTGTTCTTGGCAAGAAGATTTATCTGAACCAAACTAGTCTGCCATGGAAATACATTTGCTACTTTGTGAAAATGAGAAAGGGGTGATTTCCATCCCTCAGGAACTGAGACTCTGGTGGTCAAGCCAGACACGACAAGAGTGTTGTTGCACAAGCAACATAAAATCTTAGAGGAAACAGAGCAGACATTCATTGTGCCTAGCAGGACCTCTGAAAGGCTGGGGCCCGTGACTCTGAAGGACAGGAGCCACAGGCATAGTGCTCTGGGTGGCAAAAAACACACCAAGTACAGGCTTGTGGATTGGATGTGTGGCATGGAAAGGGCTGGGAAAAGGGAAGGTAGAGAGGTATTTGTCCAGGGAAATAGGTTTGTACCTGATTGAATCCCCGGCTGAACTCAGACTCTTTCATGAGTGATGACATTTTTATAGCCTGGGGGTGACCAGTGCTAGCTCTGCCTGCACTAACCATCCTACTCTGGTCAAGCCCCTCACACTCTGTGATTCTTTCTTTTCTCCTGTAGGCGATCTAATGCCTGCCTCCTCTACCCACCAGAGTCCCTAGAGACCTAGTGGCATTTGTGGATGTAAATGTGCTTTGATGGGAATGAAACGTGGCCAAAACCGTTGTACGTCAGACTGTGCTCTGAATGGGGCTGTTGTAAGAATTCCACCAATCTCTGGCCTCATTTGTAAGACACAGAGTGAGAATTGCTGGGTATCCAGTGATACCAAAGGGCTTTCTCTGCCCTGGCACCCATCATGGGGCACTGGACACTGCAGAACACCCCAACCTACAGAGAACCTTCTCTTCCACAGTAGATTGTGGGTAGCTCAGGGTGGCTCTGATTCTGGGAAAGTCATCCAGTCCTTTCTTAGTGGTAATGTGCTGTGTACTGAGCAATATGATCTCCCTACTCTGCATGTGATTAAATGAAGTACATTATGCCTCTTTTACCTTTCCCCTGCTTCTCCTGGCTTCGGCCTCTGGGAAACATGTTAGTTAACTCAGTGTTGCCATGACAAAATACCTGAGAATATCAATTTAAAGGAGGAAAGATCTATCTTAGCTTACGATTTCGGAGGTTTCAGTCCATGGTAAGCTGGGTCCATTTTTCCTGGGCCTGTGGTGAGGCAGAAACATCATGGCAGAAGGGCTGGGTAGAGCAGAGCTGCTCACTTCGTGGCAGCTGGGAAGCAAAGAGAGCAAGAGAGCCAGAAAGGAAGGGGACTGGAGACATGAAGTGCCCTTCTATGTCACACACCTGTGCCCTACTACCTCCAACTAGGCCTTCCCTTCTCATAGCCCACTCAGCTGAGAACTCAGCAATGGACTAATCCAGTGATCCTTGTGATCCAGTTGCCTCTCTGGATCACAACTCTGCACATTGCTGCCTTGAGGATCCAGCCCTCAATACATGAGTCTTTGGGGGACACTTGTT